AATATTTAAAATGATTGTATCAAATTTTAACCAGAATCGAACCGATCCTGGGCCTAAAAAATTGGAATAAGAATAAAAAGTTAAGTCTTGTGGTGCAAGACTTAAGTACAAAGAATTGATGGAAAGTGTACCCGGGGGGTAGCTTATCCGAGGGGTTATTATGAGAATAACCTAGAGAGAAGTCAGAGCAAAAAAGTAGGAGAGAGAGTCGATTATATTAATGAACTCGAGATGTTCTGGTCCTATACAATGGGAAAAGGGGGAGAAGAGAGGTACTTCTTACGCTCGTCGAAGCAAACAAGTAGGAGAGAGAGTCGATTGTATTAATGAACTCGAGATGTTCAAGTCGGTGTAGTCCACACACATGCGGAAGGTAGGGGGCTTCTGCGCAAGAACCACATTGGCCAACCATGAGGGGTATTTCACCTCCCGTATGTGTTTGATGGAGAGGAGCATTGCAACCTCTTTCTTTACAAAATCCCTTCTCTCGGCCGAGAGGGGCCTTCTTCTTTGTTGCACTGGCTTGGCCGAAGGGTCCACCACCAGGCGGTGAGTGATGACCCTTCGGTCGATCCCCGGCATGTCCTCCGCCCCCCATGCAAAAACAACGGAGTAGGCGCGGAGGGCTTCGGTGATGCCGGTCTTCAGGTCTTCGGGGAGCTTGGCTCCGATCTTCAAGACTCTCTCCGGCTTGGCCGGATCGAGTACAAAGTCTTCGGTGTCCTCAGCAGGCTCAGCCCTCGGCCTGCCTTCTTCCTTTTCTAGGGCGTTGGTAGTGATAGTATCAATGCGGAGTTCAGTCTTACTAACCTTCCTAGTGAGCTGAATGTAGCAAGCGCGGGAGATCTTCTGATTCCCCCTCGAGTAACCGATGCCGGTGGGTGTGGGGAATTTGAGGCAGAGGTGCCTCATGGAGATGACGGCTTCTAAATCCTCGAGGGCGGGCCGACCGAGGATGATGTTGTGTGCGCAGTCGAGGTTGACGACGACAAATTCCACTTTGAGCTTGGCTCTATGGGATCCATCGCCAAATTCAACCATCAGGGAGATTATACCTTCGGCATCGATGTTATTCCCTGTGAATCCGGAGAGGGGTGTTTTGATGTGCCGAAGGGATCCCATATCAAGTTCCAATTCCCGGAAGGTGCTGAGATACATCACGTTGACAGAACTCCCTGTGTCAACATAAGTTCGGAGGATGATGGCGTTATTGATCTCCGTGCGGATGACGAGGGCATCCCTGTGAGGAAGGGAACCCGGGGGCAGATCCGCATCCATGAAATAGATAGGATCCGCCCTCAGCCTCTTGGTTGGGGGCATGTGGTTGACTTCCCCAACGTAAAGGGATTGAGCCCACTTCTTCCGTTGGCTCGTGGAGTCACCTCATGTGTTACCGCCGTTGATCATGTGAATGTGGCACTTGTATTGTTGTTGGGAGTCATCCTCCTCACTGAGGTTCCCAATCTCACGCTTCCTCCCTTGTGGATTTCCCAAGGGGATGGTGTTCGGGTTAACCCATTTGTTGGCCTTCAGCGGGGCCCCCTGGTGATGAGGGGTTCCCTGAGGATGAGGGCCCCTGACGAATTGGGACAAATGGCCCGCTTGTATCAACCTCTCGATGGCCGTTTTTAACTGATGACAATCATCAGTCTTGTGCCCATGGTGGCGGTGGAAACAGCAATAAGGTTCATTAGGGCTAATGGCATATACCTCGAGGGGTGCGCGAGAATCACGCTCCACAAGGCCTCTTTCTTCCGCATAATCCAGAATAGTGCTGATGGGATGTGTCAGGGGAGTGCGTGGGTGCTCCAGGAGGACGAGTTGCGCCCATGCCTTCGGGTTGTTCTTGTAACCGCCCCCCGGGTCTGGCTTGGCCATTCCGGGGTCGATCACTATATTGCGTTTCACGGTTCGCCGGAGGGGGTGGCCCCTCGGGGCGATTCCTGCCTTCGTGTTTCTGAGAAGGCTCCGGATTGCGGCGATCCTTCTCGATCTCTTCGGCCTCGGCGTATCGGTCCCCCCGCTGGAGGGCTTTTGTATAATCGCGGGGGGGATCAGTAATAAGGCTCCTAGAGAAATTACCGTTGCGGAGGACGGTGTGGAAGAGGGCCATCAAGGTTCTGTCGTCGGCTCCGTCGACTTCGATGGAGGCCTGCCTCCAGCAATCAAGGAAGTTCCGAAGGGTCTCCTCCTTCTGTTGCCTTACGTTCAGGAGGTGGGAGAAGTGTTTCTTTGACCGGTGCCTCCCGGCGAATTGTGTGAGGAATCGGTGGGCAAGTTCCTGCCATGAATCTACGCTGCCCTCGGGCAACCGGTTGAACCATTCATACGCTGGCCCCTCTAAGGCGAAGAGGAACCAACGACATAAATATTCATCTGATGCCCCCATCATCATCATGCTGTTTTGATACCTGCTGTAATGTTCTTGGGGATCTGTCTTCCCCTCATATGGTTTGATGGGTTGTCATCGGTACTTTCCGGGGATCTGAGCAGCTAGCACCCTTGGGGTGAAGGGAGTCTTTGTGCGGAGTTGGATGAGGGGTTCGCCTGAGCCTTCGGCGAGTTTGCGTTTCATCTCCTCCATTTGTGCTAGAATGGCAGCATATTTTGGATCTGCCTCCAAAGTCGAAGCGGGAGGCGTTTGGCGTGCCTCCTTCTCCTCCAGCTGGCGGCGGAGGGCCTCGATGATTTCATCTTTGTGACCCCTCGGGGTTGCCCCCTGGGATTTCACCCTGAAGGATTGGGCGTAGTTGATTTGATGCCTGGCATCATCTGCGTGGAGGATGCCCTTGCCTTTATCTCGAGGGGGAGATCTCTCTTCGGCCCCAGAGACGGAGCCTCCACTCTCCTGAGGCCTGCTGATCGCCTTGCCACCGAGGCGGTCTTGGACCCCTCGGCGTTCAGGAGCTACTCCCAACCTCTCGATGGCAGAGGTTCGGGGCTTCTCTTTGTTCACGGGCCACTTGTCCTTGGATTGGGCCGCTTGTCCTACGCCATGAACCCCTCGGCGTTGCCAATCCCCATGGTGGGATTGTTGAACAGAGGAGGGGGCGGCGGAAAATGGACAGTATTTTCTCCGAAATAGGGTTGGAGGGGTGCCTGTGGAACGAAGGCACCAGAATTCATTGCCATATTTTGGACGAAGGCCGCAAAGGCGGCCTGAAGGTCGATGGTTGGAGCCGAAGGGGGAACTTGGTTCTCTCTTCGGTCCTTCCTTCGGTTATCAAGGCCGATACGAGCATCTGGGGCAGCCTTCTGCAGCTGCTGACGGAGGTCAGTAGCGGCCTACTCCAATTCGAGGATGGGCACCAAGAGCCTATTGGAGGCTTCGGCCCCGTTGGTTTCGCCGGGGGCTACGTGGTTTTCCTCGAGGGTTTTGGACTGACCATGAGTTCTTCCCATTCTGGTAGGTGCTTTTGTCTGGTGAAGGGGAGAGTTTCTCACTTGATTGTTCGGACTCTCAACGAGAGCACCAAATGATGGACAGTGTACCCGGGGGTAGCTTATCCGAGAGGTTATTATGAGAATAACCTAGAGAGAAGTCAGAGCAAACAAGTAGGAGAGAGAGTCGATTGTATTAATGGGGGTGCTATTTATGAGATGTTCTGGTCCTTTACAATGGGAAAAGGGGGTGCTATTTATAGCAGCAATAAATGCAATGAGAGTACACGTGGCGACAATCTAACGGCCGAGGGCTCACCTCAATCGGGGTGGCACCGACACTCGCATGTGCACCGCATTAAAGGCGGTGGATGGATGTGACGCCGCATTAAATGCGGTGGTTGCTTGTCTCCAAAGGGAATCTTCGATGATTGAGCTATTTAGCCGAAGGCTCTCCCAGCGGCCGAGGGCTCTGTGCAGCCGAAGGCTCTGTGTAGCCGAAGGCTTCCCTGCCGCCGAAGGCATGAGAGTGCCGAAGGCTCCTGATTTCTGCCATTTTCTCCCAGCTGCTTAGTGCGCTTAAATCTGGCTGCCCTGTGTGATTTAGAGCCCTCGGCCAAGGAGGCCGAAGGCACCCCTATGTGTATTGTGGGCTTCTTGACACTTGGGCCGCTGTATTTGGGCCCTGGGTGTGTATTGGACTCATTGGGTCTGTGTAGGAGAAGTAGGAGTCTGTGGGCCGGGGGTCCTTGGGCCATATACTCCATCAAGAATAAAATCAATAAAAACTAATGGCCAATGATAATTTGATTTGGTAAATACGTAATAATTTGGTTTGATGATACATTTGTTGTTTTAGAAACATTACTTGGGTAGAAAGTCTACGTTTTTTCTCAAATATATACTCCCTCTGTCCCACTATAATTATCTCATTTTTCTTTTTTGTCCATCCCACTAAATTTGTCCCGGTAATATTTGTGTGTCTCTAATTTACTCTTACTTTATCATGGGATTTAAGGGAAAATGGTCAAATAGGTCTCGAACTTACATAAAAAGGTCAAATAAACCCTTATATAGGAGGCTCTGTCCGGCCGTTGCCGGTGGAATTTTTTTATGAAATCTTTTAAGCATCTTATTCATTAAGTTTAGTTTACTTATACCAAATTTCAACTAACAATTCAATCGGAAGGACATTCAAATGAATTCTTGAAGATAACTGCGCTTTTAACTGCGTAGTTATCAATCTCATAACTTTACTATTTTTAAAAATCTCATTGCTCTCCTTTGTACTAACCAGAGGAAGGGCGGTAGTAACAACTTTTTATAATTCATTTCGCCTCTCCTATCGATCAGGTGACACATCGATATTACATTTTCACCGTATTTTAGGGAGTGTTTGGAACTGATTTTGCTTCTGCTTTTCTTTTTAAAGTAGAAGCAAATCAGTTTTTAGAAGCTGGTGATCCCCAGCTTCTAAAAAAACTACTTTTACACTTTCACCCAAACACTCCATCTTATGCTTTTACTCCTTGAAGGAGCAGAATCAGTTTTAAGAATCAGATCCAAACACCCACTTAGTCATATTTAATTCATTCCCTCTATTGTTATTGAAGTTTAAAGACGATTGTTTTAAAATTTCAACACTCCTAACTGTACACCGGGCTACCTTATGTTTATTTTGAACATGTACTTCTAACTGTATTTTTCTCCAAACGTACTTCTAGCTAACGTCTCTTGATATTTCCTATGAGATTCAACTTTCTCCAACTTGAACCTCTCATAGCAATCAGCAATGAAAGCCTCTGCTATCCGATCAATGTCATCATCACCGCCCACCTCCTCCTCTTCCTCCCCATCAAGCCAGTCAAGGTATCCCGACAGCCCGGCCGGAGACTCATCATCATTAGAACAACGGCTAACACGGACGGACGATGGCATCGGAGGAGGAGCGGGAACGTGATCAGAGGAGGAGCACCAGCTGTAGAGTGGCCTAATAAAGGAGCTGAGCTTCAACGCCTTCTTGCGGAGCTGGTCGTTGTTGAAGGCCGCCTTCATGCTATTATCATTACTCTTCTTGACAATGAGGATGGCCATCCGTTGCTGCGCGGCGGCGAGATGTTTGAGGATGCGGTGTCTGAGAATGGACTTTGCTCTGTGAAGAGATCCGGCAGTGCGGTAGAGGTGGGAGTAGAGTCCTGCTAGGATTAGGGTTTTCAGTAAGGTTGCTGATGATGGATATGGAGGAGGGTGAGAAGGAGAGGGGCCACCCATTCTCCTTTTCATTTTCTTTTCAGTCTTCATTATCTTCACTTTGTCTAGCTCTTTCCTATTTTGCACACAATAAATTAAAGTTAAGGTTTGTATATATATAGATATATTGGGGATGGGGGGTTGGAATTGAAAGGCTTATTAACCACTTCTCATATTAACAGCCCTACCATCTGGCCTGTTTGGTTGGAGAAAGAATACTTACCAGGGGGAATGAAATCCTAATTTTGGTGAAAGGGAATATCTGTCGAATAAATTGTGGATTTTTATTTTATACCTACATTAAAGGCTAGGTGGTAAAAATACCACTTAAGATGCATGCTATATGATCAGACCCTACTAGTCCTATTTGGATCCAAGTGTTACAAAACGGGATATTTTTTCATATATCTCCAACTTGTCCGTTTAACCATATAATAAGTGCTCTGAATAATACTAAAAGTTAAGGGAAAGTTCCCGAAATAGGACTAAAACAGTTTGAAAATTCCAAAATAGAACTGCCATGTTTTTTATTCTCAAAATATGAGTAATTACTGTCAAGTTTGGAAAATACTGCCATGTTTGAAGTCTGGTACCGCCAAAACATGGGAGTAATTAGTCTCATTTTGGGAATAAAAACATGTCAGTCCTATTTTGGAATTTTCAAACCTTTTTAGTCCTATTTCGGATAATATTCTCTAGTTAATCAAAGTGTACCAATAAAGTTTAAAAGAACATTATTGATTTTATTAATAAAATATGTTTTAAATATATTTATTTTAGGGAAAACTGTCAAATAGGTCATCGAACTTTCATAAAAAGATCAAATAAGTCCTTATATAGGAGGTTCCGTCCGGCCGTCGCGATTTGGAGCGGTTCCCGGTGGAATTTTTTGATGAAAATTTTGGAGCATCTTATTCATCAAGTCTAGTTTACTCATACAAAATTTCAGCTAAAACTTCAATCGGGAATGCATTCAAATTAATTCTTGAAGATAACAGTGCAGTTAAATGAGCAGTTATCTTCAAGAATTAATTTGAATGCGTTCATGATTGACGTTTTAGCTGAAATTTGGTATGAGTGAACTAAGCTTGATGACTAAGATGCTAAACAAAATTCATCAAAAAATCCCACCGGGAACCGCCCCAAATCGCGACGTCCGGACAGAACCTCCTATATAAGGACTTATTTGACTTTTTTATGAAAGTTCAATGACCTATTTGACAATTTTCATTTTATTTTATGATTTTACAAACTCAAAATTTAAGTTACAAAGTTAGTCTATTTTATTGTGACTCGAACTCTCGAAGCATATAATATGAAAAATTAAAGAAGCTGAAGAATCGTCGGCCCAGCCCCCAGGTATTAAAAAATGTTCAAAAGGTGATTTGCAATTTTGCATCACTCATGTAGAGATTCACTAAAATTTGCAAATTAAGCACATATAGTAATATAATATAATAACAGCCTCCCCTACCCAATTCCTTCCCAGCACCTTCAGCCTCTTGATGAGAAAGAATTTAGTGCTCTAGTTAAAATATACGTACTCCTATATTCTATTCAAGAAGCAGATATATCTTACAAGGATATGGGGTCGAATTGGATTCCATTAATCTATTTCTTATCGTTGAAAGTTGCACTTTGTTATTATTCACTGATAACCACAATTCACTATCTGTATCAAAACTTTATTATATTTAAATTCACATTTTATAGGACCAAAATTACTAAATTCACATTAAGTTCACTCTCAACACACCTTCCTCCCACCTAGTTTTGGTCCCATCTTCCACTTCACTAGGATATTCACAACTCTCCTTACATGTAAAGACCTTTTTGATCCAATAGAGGTGAAGGATATTAATCGTGACCATAGTCAATGGAATGGAAGAACATTAATTAATAGAAAAATTATTGTCAAATCCGACAATGGATTGACCATAGTGCCTAGCTTCCACCACGTTGCACATGAAGCCGACGCTTATTTTGAGACTTTGTATACCCGAACCGAACCTACCCATTAAATGGAACCGACGGTTCTTAAAAATTTACGAGTATCAATTATCCGGACCGATCCAAACCATGCCCACCCCTAATTCACGTCGTTGATGAAAAATCTACCCATATTACTAAAAGGACCACATAGTTCACTCAAACTAGGCAAAACAATAGTGTGTTATGGGTAGCATTATCAAAATAAAAAGCAAACACTTTGTCAAATTAAATTTAGTGAAAGTTCGCTCCTTTAAAATAAAAATGTTGTCACCAATGTAATTGTCATTGAATTCACTAAACGCAACAATCCCCATATGTCACTAAAAATAGTAACATGATCGGGAAAATAAGGGATAAGATTAATAAATTTTCCATTACCATAAATAATTTCACAACCAAATACTAATATACCAACCCATATGAAGTATATAAAATCTAAGGTTAGTCCTATAACGTTACTTTCTAATATGTGTGTGTGAGTGTATAATTATTATATATATAAATGCTAATGTGGTATCAAAACTAAAAACTCTAGCATGAAACTTATTTGGTAACAAAAAAGTAAAAGAATTTCAAAATTCATCCACTCCAACATGTTGTTAAGTTATTCCAATCGACTATACCAAATAGATAGTATAAATATACAAACTCAGACTACTTATATTATATGGTTGACTTTTTATGACAAGGCCATAAGGGTTTTGACTATGTATGGTTTTGACCAATATTGGTACATAAATCACAGTTGAATAATGTATTCCGAACACAAAGGAGCAGTGCTGACCAAAATTAAATGCGTGTAACGAACCACAACACAACCTTCCACTGAGGAAACCCTCTATGTGCTATATAAATAAGCCTATCACCATCAAACTCTATCTCCAGTAGTACAGCCATCTTTACACACATGGTTGTCGCCCTTCTTGTTGTTCTTGCTGGCTTCATCTAAAGCAAATGTTTACATGCTGTACTGATCTGTATAAAGAATTTGTAAGAAACGAGCATATATCAGTTGATTCATCATATATGTGCAAGTTGAAGGCACACAATAATGCATCACTCTATACCAATCAACAGCTCTTACAGTTCACACCAGCTGATACAACTGCCTAACTACACACAGCTGATACTTGCATAACACATCCAATGGCAAGCTATTACAGGTTTCCAGCATATAATTCTGGATACACACTCCCATAACTCACAAAATGGTTCCTAAATTATACTGATGATGCTATGATATCATATCCAGAGTTAATTACAAATACTACCCCCGTCCCTAACATTGATACAAGAGGATGTGATGTGATCACAAAAATGAGTTTATGTGATTAATATTGAATTGATAAAGTGAAAATAAAGTAAGAATGATTTTGAACCACATAAACATTACCAAATTTGGTATGGAACAATCTTAATGGGACGAACTAAAAAGGGAAGATGGGACAATCTTAATGGGACTGACTAAAAATAAAAGATGGGACAACCTTAGCGGGATAGAAGGAGTAACGAACATAGAAACCAAAATGATATGAGATAGCTGATATGTTTATGTGACTATGTCCCACAATACAAGGATTCATATTGTAAAATCAAAACGAAAAATCAGGAACATGACCATAATACACAAAAAACATAAATGTAAGTGTTCCAAAATGGGAATTTAGTAACAAGTTAACATCTTACAAAAATAGGATATCCAACGCCTTTCAAAAAAAATATTCAAAAGTAATTAAAATAAATAAAAAAGAATATCGGTTCAGTAATAAATGAAAATATTAGATATTTTGGAACAAGAAATATATTAGCTTTTTGGCATTCGCATTCCATTTCTGCCTAGTTGTGGAGGGGGGATTGTTGGACCCAAATTTATCCTAATACAATTTATTCCTTTCCTTCTCATTTTTTTCACTACCAAACAATGGAAACACCTACTGTCTTTTGATTCTTTTCTACTTATTTCCTCACTGCCCTTCCATTTTCATATCAAACACACAGTTAGTCTCATATCCGCTAAATTAATTAAATCACTATACTTTTTCTGTCAAAGTAAGGTGTGTAATCACTATACTTTTCGTATGGAGGATTGATCTCATTTCATCTTTTTTCATCTTCTGTGTTTTGTTTCTTTTTTATCTTTCTTAGAGCCTGTTTGGCAACCCAGTTTTTTGGCTTATCGGGCTTATTGGCCAGCTTTTTCACCAAACACGCAACTTTTGCTTTCGCGCGCTGAATTGTGTAATACGCAAAAAAAAGTAAGGTTGGAGTTACTTTTCTGGCTGTATTGGCTGAAGTTACTGTAGATGACTATTTTAGCTATTGTTACATATAATTTTTTCTTTATTTTATTAATAAAATATATTTTTAAAATATTTTTTTCTTAAATCAGCAAAATCAACCAATGCAGCCACTTCAGCCAGAGTTTCATAAATTTCAGCAGAATCAGCCAAAACAGCCGATTTTCGTGCTACCAAACGGGCTCTTATACTCTATCTTTTTTGTCTTATCTTTTTATCCTTTTATCTTATCATTTTTATCTTTATCTTATCTTTTTAACTTATCTTTTTTTCTTTTTTATGTTTTATCCTTTTTAGCTCCGATTTCATATGTCTACTCATGTTAGCGGATCCAAACTCTTTTGGGACTAAGGCTTGAATGTTGTTCTTGTTGATGTAAGGTGTGTGTAATCAATGCTCAGAATAGTTCCCAAAGTAAACGAATAAATCAGTTCAAGAAGGCAACCTAACAAGAAATATTCAAAACAAATACTCAAGAAATGATCCCAAAGAGAAAATACCAAATTGTCGTAGCATCTCCATCTAGGCTTGTCAGACTGGGATTCTGTCAACTGCGCGATTCAAGGTGTGAGAAATATGGAATTGAAACCCTCATATTTCAGCAAATCAGACTTTCCCTGTAAACGGTGCATCTCACGTCTCTTCAAAGTTCAAATGATTCTCAAAATTACTGCAGTTGAATACCTTTCTTCAAATCTTCCCAAACGTCATGTCCTCCAGGATGTTGATTTACATACCTACTCACAAATGATTTCTCAGAAGAAGAAACAATAGTTTTCAAGGCCAAGTTTGGATCTACTCTCCCTTGATCTTTCAGCCAATTATACATAAACACCCTGAGTTTGGTTCTCTGAGTGTTGAATGCAATGTATGATTCTCAAAATTACTGCAGTTGAATACCTTTCTTTAAATCTTCCCAAACGTCATGTCCTCCAGGATGTTGATTTACATACCTACTCACAAATGATTTCTCAGAAGAAGCAACAATAGTTTTCAAGGCCAAGTTTGGATCTACTCTCCCTTGATCTTTCAGCCAATTATACATAAACACCCTGAGTTTGGTTCTCTGAGTGTTGAATGCAATGTATGATGGAAACGAAACTAAACTAGATAGCGGATATCCCAAGATGTTCACAAGAAAATCAATCTTTTCTTCAATCACCTCTTTCGTTTGGTTTAGAATATTGGGATAACCTTTGATCATTGTGGACACATCCTTTGGATCCAAACCGGCATTGACCAAACAGTCAAACCTCTCTTGAAGCTCCAATCCTTTGCCTCGAAGAGATTTAAGAACTTCCATTTCACCTCCGTTTTCAAGAAAGCCCAAACTCAAAAGAAATTTAATTTTCATGTCTTTCGATTTTTTTATCTCTCCTGTTGTTGGGAAAGGCTCGACTCTTTTTCCTAAAACCCATTTCTTCAAAACATGTGGGTCCTCTAAGATCGTTTTACAGAGCCTCTTCTTCCCAGTATTTAAAGTACGGAGCAAGCTATCTACTTTCTTTAAAGAACATGAACCCAGAACCAAAGGGTGTGAACTAAAAACATTCTCAATCTGATGTGAAGGCATTTCAATATCAATAAGAATCTGGTAACAGTTCCTTAAGTTCTTAAGAAACATTCCAGTTTGAATTGGTGGGAAATGAGAAAAAATACAGTATATATTATTCTGAGTGCATCCAAATTTCCACAAGAACCCCATAATTGAAAATACATTACGTCCTGAGCCCCCAAATAAAATATCAGGATTATTAATTATGACTTTACCCAGTTTCTCCTCATTGAAACCCAACTTCCTGAACAAGAGCAAGGCTTCAGATAAATATCCCCACTCATAAGAGTTTTCGTTCAATAATTGCGGAAAAATCCAGTCTTGATCAATTCCCAAACACTTCAACTTCTCCAAAAACCTAAAGAACTCCTTATCTGCATTCCCCTCCAAAAGGCGTGGATTTGAATGAATTAGCTTAACTAGACTGAGTTGGTCAAACCCAACCTTGCCAAACGCCTTCAGCTTTGATTCCAATACTCCTTGACAATACCTGAAGATCTTGGGGACTTCTTTGTAAATTGCTCCAATCTTATTCCGTGCAAAACCACGACTGCAGAGTACACTATAGTTGTGAATCAAAACTTGATCATCACTCAAGAATATCAATTTTGATGGGAGAAACATAGAGTACTCAGAAGGGTTCAACCCCATACTCTCAAAGAAGGGCTCGAACTCATTAATGGGATGGTACCTCAAATACCTGGATATAGACCCTGCACTACGACTATCATTATTCACCATTTTCACCAAGTTATTAAGAAAATGCGGGGAGTTTCCACTTATGTGTTGGGCATCCGGATATTGCAATCCTCTGGTGGAATGCAGGTAGTCTAACAGAGAAGACTGGGCTTCTCTCTTCACAGTCTCGGGAAATAGGAATATTTTCTCCCATATTTCCCGAGATTTCCTTTTCGTGCGATAAAACCTATACTTCTGATAGGTGTGGATTGAACCATTAGTAAGAAACTTGGCTCTTGATGATCTAAAGCTATTATCACAATGGCTTACAGAAGCACATTTGAAGATAGATGGAATTATCTGCTTCCGCAAATGGTCCATGACTATGTTTATTTCATGGTGTAGGATAGCACTTAACGGACAGCAAAAACACTTGAGTTTTCTTTTAGTCCACAACAGCTAAGACCATAAGGTTAACATGATACCTTGACTACCGCGGTCGTGGATTCTGGACGAACGGAGCGGGTCTCCGGCAGTCGACGGCGGTGCTTGCCATGTTTGTAAGAATTGCAAGGGCATGAAGAATTCACTGGATTTTTAGGCCTTCTGGGTGCGAAATAAAGGGCCTTCCTCCTACGAGAGGAGCATTATTTTTCTCCCCATTATTTGATCCAATTGAGTTAGAATATTTGGGTTTCAGAAGATGAGATAATTTGAGCCATCTTCATTTGAGGTGGTACTAGAAATTGCAAAAAAGGGTCAAATAAGTTCTTATATAAGAGGTTCTGTTCAGCCATCGTCATTTGAGGTGGTTCCCGATAGATTTTTTTGACGAATTTTTTTGAGCATCTTATTCATTAAGTCTAGTTTACTCATACCGAGTTTCAACTAAAAATTCAACCGGGAAGGCATCCAAATGAATTCTTGAAGATAACTACGCAGTTAAAAGCGCAGTTATCTTCAAGAATTCATTTGAATGTTTTCCTTATTGAAGTTTTAGCTGAAATTTGGTACGAGTAACTAGACTTAATGAATAAGATGCTCAAAAAATTTCATCAAAAAATTCCGTCGGGAACCGTCCCAAATGGTGACGGCTGGACAGTAAGGACTTATTTGACCCTTTTTATGCAACTTCAAGTATCAATCTGACTCTTACCTCATTTAGTATTTGATATCAATTTATAAAATATGATATCAAGTTAAAAATATTATGTTAAAATGATATTAAGTTAAAAATAATTATTGTATGCTTTATATCACGGAGCGCGGGCGGGCTTGGAATTTTTTGGGTAAGGCCCGGGACCGGACCGGACCGGGAGTCTACCAGCCCGGGCCGATTCTTTTAATTTTTAGCTTTTCTTATTTATTCCAACCCCCCGAAACCCCGCCAAAACACCCAACCCAGCCCACCTACTATAGTTCCAAACCCAAAAAACCAAAAAAGGCCCGGACCGGCCGATCCCTATTTCCCCAATTTTGGAACCGCCCCCTTAAATTCCCCCGGGCCGGTCCTAGGCCCGGAACCGGTCCCAGTCAACTGGCTGGGCCGGTCCCGCACAGTGGTGGTCCGGTCCAGTTCCCGGGCCGGTGAATCGGGTCACCCTACCTCAAACGAGAAGTGGTGTATTTCGTATAATTTCTACGGTTCTTATTCTTTTGTTAATTTTGATAGTTATATTAGAGGTAGTTGTTTCTCATAGTAATGATTAAGATTTCTCGGTGTCGTTATGTAGTTATTTATCTATGACTAGTGGTATTCCTCTAACCCTAAATTTGTTCTCCTCAAAGGTCATCTGCTCCTCAATCTATTTATGGTTCCATTGTTAGATCTCCCCCTCCGGAACCACCACCATCACCACTGGACATAGGACTGGAACTGTGGAAGTAGGTGGAAGTGTGAAGAATCAAGAATAAATGGCATTAGTGTTTATTCAACGAGACAAATCTGCTTGTCGAGATGAAACCGACGAGGGCGCAACATGACTGGACATTGATGACTCGTTGCTATATTTTATTATAAATGCCGTTATATTGATGACTCGTTGCTACATTTGATTCAATTCTCTAGTTTACTTTTTATTTATTCTAAATGGTGGCAATAGTTCTAAGTTAATATTTTACTCATTTTTGGTTCTCTTTTACTCCATCCGTCCCACTAACAATGGGTCAAGAGTGAGTGACACGCAAATAAATAAAAAGTGGTTTGTGTTGTTGATATTGAATTGATAAAGTAAAAATGAATTAGAGCTACACAAACTTTACCAAATTTGGTATGAGACCATTTTAATGGAACGGACCGAAAATGTAAAATGAGTCAATCTTAGCGGGACAGAGAGAAATACATTTAAAAATGTATTTGATTGAATACCTATAATCATCAAAATAGTTAACACTCAACCCAAATACGATCTTTAAAATATGGGATACACCATGTTTTCCTGAAAAATGATAAAGTGAACAGTATATGAAGGGTAGATGTGGAAAAACCCAATACGCCTAGATTTCCCAAATGGGTGATATAAAGGGACAATGAAATTGGATCAATCCAAACAAATAAATGTAAAAAAGTGACAGTACTAGTTGTCGTTGAAGTGTGGGCAATCTTGGAGAGTTCCTATGTGAAAACGTTGCAACTAGGGCTGGACTCGAGTCGGTTCGGGCCCGGTTCGGGCCTGGCCCCGGCCGGGCCTCGGGCCAAAAAAACTGGGGCCCGGGCCTGAACCGCCGGTAGCCGGTTCCGGGCCAAACCTGGCCGGGCCAAACCAGTCCATTTTTTTTTTGTTCTCCTATTTAACCCCCTACCCCTCAACCCCAAACACCTCAAATGGCCCAAAATACCTAATCCAACCCAAAACTTAAAAAAAAAAATAAAAAAAAAAAATTAAAATCCGGCCCGGATCGGCCGGGCCGGTTCACCTAAAGCAGGGCCCGAGCCCGGACCGCCCATCACCCGGGCCGGGCCAAACCGAACCGCTGGACCCACCGGGCCCCGGGCCGGGCCAAACAGTAACCGGGCCGGGCCGGTTCCGGGTCGGGCCGCCCGGCCCGAGTCCACCCCTAGTTGCAACAGATGTTTAACCAGCGAGGGAAGACACCTACTTGATTAACGGCATGGAGCACACCCTCATCGTGATCTTAGGCGACATATTGTTTCGAACTTTTTGCATTACGATCCTTTGCATATTTATGTAATAAATGGTCATTTTATGGTGACTTGAAAGGCTTCAAAGAGGGGACCTATTTATTATCGGGGTGAAGTTACTTTTGTGGGGTAAACTCACTTTTAAGTTTTGACTTAATCCCGCTCATGCCAATCCCACTATACCAGTATCATGCTCATATTGGGGGACCTATAGCACAATCCACAAATTGTGCATGCCATTAGGGAACAACGATTCTATCTGATTGTAGAAAATACTAGTATCTTCTTGGGGTTTTGGGATTCATTCCTGTTCTTTTAACACGATTTGCCATTGGCTTAATATAGAATTTTTCCGTTCAAAGAAAAGCCATAAAACAAGTACTTTTATGGTATAAACAAGACTGTTAGAACAGAAATATCTTTAAAACAAGCATTTATACCGAGTGCACGCAATATTTTGGACTTCACGCATCAGAAATTGCATAGAAAGATTACAATACTACTATAGTACTAAAGAAACTCATTCATTATGAAGCGTCTTTAAATGTTAGGGATGTAATTACTACAGATAGGTGTGTTGAAAGAAAGCTCTAATATCTCTTGATCTCTTCTGAATTGGTCAAGATATTACTTACACTTGCACCTTACCATGACCCAAGAACTCTAAATAGAAGCAATGATGAAGAGTAATGAAAAAAATATACTTCTATGTTGGAAATCTAAAACAAAGTGCAACAAAACATCATTTGCAAATTTAATATCAGCCATCGAGACCCGTCTAATTCTCTGATGATCTAGTCCTCCTCTAAAGAACTGCCCAACTAAATCCAACTATTTAAGGAAAATACACTATTTTGACATGTTTTTATAAAACAAGACACCTATAAGAAGACAAATATTAATGGCACTAGATTTCTTACTATTATCGTCTTCGGTTATTGGGTTGGCATGTAGTAGGGCGGATAAGGAGGAGGTTGCATGGGATAGGATGGCTGTGGAACCATATATGTGCCACTGTGGTATGCGTAACCGCTGAGATGAGTTTCAGATCCATATGGTGGTTTCTGTTGAACATGTGAGTGGTAACCGGGTGGTGTTGTCGGAAATGGGGTTGTAACTAATGCTGCAGAAGTCTGTACTTGAGCAGTGAACTTGCCTTTGTAATTGTCAGCAAGTTTGACCGTAACATTCCTTCCCTGCAACCATTTTGCAAAAGCTGAAATAAATCCTAGGATGTGCATGCATAAGTGTGCTGCCCTTATAAACTACTCTTATAAGAATCCCAAACTAGCCTTTGACTAGTCTCCACCTACACCCTAAGCTCCGCCTGTGCACCTATGGTTTTTCCGGGCTCCATAACACTGACTAATCACTAGCTACGGTGCCACGTTGAACAGCAAAACTGCTAAACGGCTAAACCAAAACGAACTGACTGGCAAAATAATTTAAACCTAACCCACGAAAACCAATATAATCATAGGTGATTCAGTCTGCAGTTTTAGGCTTAGGCTTTGAAAACTGGCCCAAATCCGACAAAAAATGACCTAACGGAAACGCGGTGTTTGGTTTTTGGTTTTGCATTTTATAAAACCGATTCAACCTAAATCAATGTGCACCATCTGATGACAACACCTACTCAGTACTAGGCCACAGCTACAGCCTAGTCTGTCTCGCGCTATTTACAACATTAATGTTCGTGATTCATACCAATGCAATTGTTTTGGAAGTGCCTAAGGTTGCAAAAACTGCTAAGCGGGCCCAGGGTAGAGGACCACTCTAGGAGTGTAAAAAAAAAACGACCCGCAATGACCCGCCCTGGCCCGAGACATTTGGGGCGGGTCCGGCCCGCCCCGTCTTGCAAATGGGGCGGGTCCGCCCCGCCCCGCCTAATGGGGTAGGTCCGGGCATTAGTATTGACCCGTGCCGACCCGCCCCAACCCGCTCAATATACAAGTATAAATATTTTTTCTTAAATTATGCTACAAATATACTTCAACATACATGTGTGTGTATACAATAATCATAATTTTTTGTGATCTGATAATCATTTTCATTTTCATTTACCCCAGTGCCACAAAGGCTCCCACCTACGGTGGGGAAAGGGGGGGTCGGATGTACGCAGTCTTACCCCCGTGATCTTATAATATATTAATATATATATTAGAATGAGATGAACGACGGATTATCAATGTCTTCTTTATATATAGCATTTTAATACATATATTCAATTATTAATATAATTAAATAGATTAACTATTCAAGTCTGAGTAAATTTTCCTTAATTTTTGAAATTCTTAGCGTATCATGAATTTGATTTAATATATAAATTTTTAATTATTATTTAGAGAAAAACTTTATGTAGATTCAATGGGTAACAACTTCCCACAAATAAAAATACATACTAGCATATTTGGTTAAGACGGAGCGGGGCGGACCCGCCCCGCATGGGGCGGGTCATGGGTCAACAAGTTTGGACCCGTGCAGGTCACGGGACGGGTCCGGGTCTTGCGGTACCCGCCCCACCCCGACCCATTGCCATGCCTAGACCACTCCACTACCTTGGTGGCTCCCCAGGTTATATTTACTTCTGTAAAACAAGTCACCTATCCTGCCTAATAGACCACCTGGTTGATCGCCTAACTCCCCCCCCCCCCACCATATTTAAACACCACCTAAGAGTGTGGGGTTGGCTAACATGAATCGACATATGAAATCAGAGTTAAAAAAGATAAGATAAAGATAAAAAAAATAAGACAAAAGAGAAAAAAAAAAAAGATAAAGAAGATAAGAAATACCATGTGTAAAAAAGATAAAATGAGATAAATAATGCAACTCACAATATGGAATAAAAAAATTAAAAAGAGCAGAAGAATGATGTACAAGCCTGAAAGACAAATTTCTCCTTACCCCAAGTATCCTTTGTGGATTCTCTAACGCTTTCTTTGCAGACTCTGTAGTTTTATAAGTGACAAAGCCAAAACCACTACAAGGGAACAAATGCATGTTAAGAGTACATGATAAATATAATATGAGCTCTTCTAGTCTAGACTAGTTATAAGAGCATCAAAGATGTTGATCTATAATGTTATATACCGCGATTTTTCAGTATCTTTGTCATATGCAACTGAACCCTCCTCTATCTCACCATGCCTTCGGAAAAAATCAAGAAGCATCTCACTAGTTGTGTCTGGTGATAAACCCCCAATATAGAGCTTCCTCTGTGATTGGTCAGATGCAATACTGGTATTGCTGTTTAGGCTTTCAGAAGCTAGATTACAAGCTGACATGCGACCCTGAGAACAAAACATTCAAGGATCCATTTGGAACATGGAATATACTAGGGAAAGAGACTATGGAAAAAATAGAGAGGAAATATGTAAGGATGGAAATTCCGGGTGAAAACATAATACTCCGTACTCATTTCATGTAAATGTTTCTATTATATAAACGGAAAGGATTCTGGATACATGTAAAAAAAATACAAAATTATATTATTTCATTTTCCTTGGCATTTTCCATGATAAAGTCATAAACCAAATATCAGAAAATAATTTTTCTTTACATTTTCCACTTTTTAGAGCATTTTCCATTATCCAAAATACTAGAACAGAAACTCCAAACCAGATACAGAATTGTCTCTAACAGTGGTTAAGACTTAAGATTAATATAATTCAAGGGGTAAATATTGAGAGATGTGCTCTCATTTGTAGTCTTCTATCAACCACCTAATAACAGCAACTTGAGTCATGTACTCATGTTCGATGGTGTGCATGTTGATTTTATAGCATCAGTTTTACCAAAGGACAAGATTGCATCACCTATTCCACATACAAGGATGACAAATGATCGACACTAAATATTACTGATAATAATTACTCCTTCCAGTCCTTATTACATGGAACAATTTCGACTTACAGATGGATCAAGGAAATGATCAAAGGCATTTACAATAACCTTCAATTTCCTAATACACTCTTAAGTTTTTATGGGAATATGTTTAAGAGTCGTCAAGGGTGAATACAGTCTTGCATCACTATTTTAAAATGTTGTGGGGATGATAAGGAGAATGATTAATATGATTCCTATTAAGTATAAGAAACTTCCCTAAAGAGGAGTAAAAACATTTGTGAGTTCCAAAATAGGACTGCCATATTTTTATTCTCTAAATAGCAGTAATTAGGGCCATGTTTTGGCATTACCGGACTTTAAACATGGCATTATTTTCCAAGCTTGGCACTGTTTACTCCCATTTAGGGAATAAAAACATGACAACTCTATCTTGGAATTCCAAAGCATTTTTACTCCTTTTTCGGGAATTTTCCCTTAATTCTATTACACACACTCTCGAGTTGAATCATGGATGGTAATGAGGTACATATGTTCTTATGCATCACTTACATCAATCATCTTGCTAGGTGCTCGCAGAGCTCTCTGAGCTGATTCCATATCTTTATAGGTAATAAAACCATAGCCACGAGATTTTCCAGTCACTTTGTCAAAAATGACTGCACCCTCCTCAATTTCGCCGTGCTCTTCAAAGGCCTAAACGTAAAAATAAATAACATCATAATCCAAAATTTCTACAGTTAAGTATGTTACAACCCATGCATTCTAAAGAAAAGTTTAGGACTGCCATATGCATGTAAGTGGTGAGAAGTTCAAAGTTTGGATAAACTGATCAGTGATTCAGTGTTCACCAACAACAATTAGCAATATTCACTCACAGCACACAAAGTTTCTGAAGAGGTATTCCAAGCTAAACCGCGAACAAAAAGCTTTCGAAGTGCAGGATCTGCGCTTGCAACATTTTTAATTTCTTCAGCAATTGAAGGATTTTGGGACCCTCTTCACGCCAGAACAACATGCAAACAAGCACACATAATGCATATTGTCAACCACACACCACAATCACACTCACATGTGTTGACTTAATCAAAGACCTAATGTAGCAACACCCCAAAATCAGTATTCCATAATTAATAGCTCAATAAGATGACACAGTAAATGAGTAAACCACAGACAAAAAAAGTGCTTACATCCTAGCAAAAAACAACTATAAAGTTAATTGAATGGGATCCATCATTCAAGTAAGCACCAAATAAGTAAACACAAGAAGGATAATGATATTGGTAGGGTGAGATTATGGATTGATAAAATAATCTCAAGGACTCTCAGTGGAATAAGTGAAGGTGATAGAGAACATAAACATCAAGCTTGAATAATATAAGGGAAACTTACTATTACCCGTTAGGCCATAATTACTAGTTCAAGTTGAAAAAGTCAATTAGGGTATGTTTGGCACAACTAGCTGAAAAGATACTTTTGTGAGCTTTTTAGTGACTGTTAGCTTTTAGAAAAGATCTTAAAAAGAAAAGGTGATAGCTGTTTGGTAAAAAGGTGACTGTTTGATTTAGTTCGGTTTGGTATACAAGCTGTTAGGACTAATTAATACTAAAAGTCACGAGCTTTTCTCAGATGCTACACCCGATAGCATCTCAAAAAAGATCTTTTAATTTTTGAAAAGCTCTTAAAAAATGTCATGACAAACATACAATTAGAGTCTTTTAAGGTCTTTTTAAAGAAAAGAGAAGCTAGAAGGCAGAGGCTTTTATGTGCCAAACATGGCCTTAGTTACCCCTTGATCCTTTTACGTTCATCATTACAGCCCCCACCTATCAACATTTATCTCATTTAACTTTATACAATTTTCCTAATGAACGTTGTTTAAAAATTTTTATTGACAGAGGAGAAATACTTAAAAATTTAAGAGCTTGTATTTCGAAAAATTTCGACTGGCTTCTGTCAACTACATTTCTGCTGCAAGTATCTGAGCAGAACGAATGATTTGATGATGCATACAATAATGTCATTTATGATGATGGATCTTTTTAACTTTTAAAAATGGACATGACAATCTTAATAGAATTTTGACTCAGACAAAATTGATGTTAGGGGTAAATGAGAATAATAAAAGTGGGAATAATTAACTATTGAAAATGAAACTACTATTAATACTCTGCGTAGTAACTTTCCCACAATATAATGAACTACGTTGGAATCATGGATCCCGTCATATTTCATAAACTCCTTTATTCCCAGTACATTTCCATTAAATTATAGTTAACCAATAAAGATAACAGCAAATGAACAAAGTGTATAGAAAATACAGATAGAGTAACGAAAAGTACTGAGCTTACACCCGAGCAAGAAGATCAACAAGCTGCGTTTTAGGTAGGGGGTCAAGAAGGGAGCGCAACTCTTCTAGTGAAACCACTGGAAGTATACCTCCTTCCTCTAGCTTTCTCTTCTTCGCTTCCTCCATATCCATCCACGCTAATCTGCCCCTGCTGGTTGGTTGTGTGAGGCTCTTACTAAAAAACCTTATTTATTTACTGCCGTTTTTGTGCCCTAATAATGTAATGTCCATTCTTTGGATTTAATCTTGCTTATTTGTACGAAAATAAATACAGTATTAGATTTTTCTATTGTGAAATATAAAAATATTAGTAGTTAATTCCCCATATAGATCAAAAAAGTGATCCAAAAGCACAAATAGGACTACATATTTTTTTATTACTAATAGGACTATTTTATCTGTAATTGGACAAATATACCCTTGAGGCTTTTGTAATGTGTTGATTAATAATAAATTCATTACAAAATAATAAAAAACATAACAAAAAAATATAAAAAACGTCAAAAATTAATAAAAAAATATTATAAAATATTTATAAAATTAAAAAATCTTTTTAAAAAAAAATTAAAAAAAAAATTAAATATGCCAAAAACAAATGTCTGTGCCTCTGCCACCCCCAGCACCAGTGGAGGACCTAGGGGGGGCCTACCAGGGCAAGTGTCCCGGCTTCCAGCCAGGAATTTCACTACTAGTACTTAGTGTAAAATAGGTGCCCCTGCTTCCGATCAAAAATTTCACTACTACTACTTCGGGTAAAATTAGTGCCCCAACCCGTACAAAAAATTATTAGTATTAGATAATCAAGATACTAAAACGTTACGGTTATATAAATTAACAGTTAATACACCATATTTAAATTTTAGTTGAGTTAAAATAAAATATATAGAATTCTCAAAAAAGGAGAAAAAGTAGTCAAGGGTTAATATACGGCCAACTAAAAGTAATCTAAAACAAGTGATAAAAGTCTAAAACAAGTGATAAAAGTTTATTATAGAGTAAGTTTAGTGTCTAGTGTGCCCCTGCTCTGACAAATCTCCGGGTCTGCCACTGCCCAGCACCAGCACCTCCCACCACCGGTTAGAAATCTGCCAAAATTTGTAGTAATGCCATAAGAATGGCAGATTCAATGATAATTTTGGCATTATGATGAGTAATAATTCCATTTTCTTGGCATTTTCAGAAAATAATGGCATTTTTTACAAATAATGGAAGAATTTGCACCAATCGGATTGTGTGCTTTTTTAAATGTACCTGTAAAGGGAAACTGAGATTCTCTCTGCATCTCTTTCTTTTAATCTATACGTAGTATAAATTAATATATGTATATATATAATAGAATTTTGAAGAATATATTGATCCAAAGTAAGTTCATATTCGGCTTCTTCATTTTCTTTCACAGAAAATATAGCAATAATGTTCTGAAATGGAGGATCCCAATTGTTGGGCAACCATAGAGCATACTTCTTATAGTTTTGAATATATATAAACATGTTCATACTTCTCAACCTCTGATTTTTTTCCCAGATAAGTTGATAAATTCATGAAATAATATATCTGCCGGGAAGATGATGATTTCAAGGATTTGAGCAAATTTGTGCCGATAACATGTTATAAAATGAAGGAAATAAACAGAAGATCAGAGAGAGAAAGTATAGTCTGAACACTTAGTGAGAAAGATGTTATTAAGAGTATGATAATGATGTTGTAATGGTGTCTTAATTACAATGAGAATGACTCCTATTTATAGGAGAAAGTGTGAGCTCAATGAGATTAGGAGATCATTGTGAGACACACATTTATCATCTTGAAATCATAATTATGATTTCCTAATTATTTATGTAATGGTGATAATAATTCCTAATCAGGAATAGTTAGAAGATGACTAATTCAATAATATTTTAACAAGAAGGACATTGTTGTTTCAAATAAGCTTCATCTGTAATGAGTTCACAACGTATTGTGCACTATATATGATCTTATTCATTTATTAACAATCCTCTTTTTATTCTTCTATGAAATTCTCAACAAGAGGAATTGAATTTGAATTCTCTCCAAGTAGCAGTCGTTTCCGTCTCATGTAGGTTTTTTTGTTTCCCTCGTTTTTCTTCAAAGTGTGCGGCTGTGTTGAGCTGAGTGAATCATTATATTTCATCTCAATTCCAAGAAAATAATTTAGTCTACCTGAGATTCTTTTGATGAGGTCATCGATTGGTGTTTTATCAGCGAGAGCGGAGATTTAGAAGGAGAGCTATCGTGCGATGTCGATTGACATTTGGTGGCGTGCTTTCGGTGTCGAAAGTGAAGGCATGGCACAGAAGATTGGCGTCTCCCATACTTTTGGTATCCCTTGGTCAGACCCTCCATCGGTCTGGCTTTCCCTTGGCCAGGACCTTCCTCGGCCAGAGACTATCGACAATTAGCTTACTCCTTATACCTAGCTCGGAAATTATGTATTCAACCAGAGGCCTAATCTTGTACTGGGCCTACCAAACCTCTGACCTGGGAGTCCAACCCACATTTCCTCTATAAGTTGTAGGGGGTGAGAAATATTAATTACAAGAACTTTATCACTCTAGCTCGCATTTCTCTCTAGATCAACACTCTATCAACTGTGAAATCAGTTGGTATAATAAACAACAACATCCAAGCTTTATTCTTAAGAGATTCTGGGGCCAGCTAACATGAATCGATCCATGATATCAGAGTCAAGAAGATAATGAAGACAAGAAAAATAATATAGAACATGATATCATGAATCAATCCATGATCACATAACTCTGATGCATTCTTCTATAATATACTATGGATAAGGTAAGAAGATACAATGGGTAAGACAAAGATAAATATAAGATAAAAATAATATAAGAACATAAGAAAGATAAATGATAAAAAAAATAAAAGAATATAAGAAAGATAAAATATAAAAATAACATAAGAACATATAAAGATAAAGAAGATAAAAGATAAAAGAAAATGAGAGAGAGGAGAGAAAAGAGATCAACCGTTCACACGAATATGCATTTCACTTTGCTCTCTCTAAACCATACTCTCATCCAAACCAAGAAGAATATATATTACAATTCTCCTAATTCAAGTATGTTTGGGTCTTCGTCTCTCTCATCCCTGCCTCTTCGCCTCACTTCTCAACTCGTCTAACAGATGCATCACTCTCTTTTCGGCGCACATGACCAAACCACCACAATTGAGAGTCCTGCATCTTATCTTCTATATGTGTTACTCTCACTTTTTGTTTAATTATCTTATTTCTCAAGCAACATTTACAGGTATATCTACACATCCAACACAACATATGCATCTCTGCCACACTTATCTTTTGAGTGTGACATTGTTTCATCATCCAACATTCTACGTCTTACATTAATGCAAACCTAGTTTTTGTTCGATACAATTTACCCTTCAAGTCTAGTAAGCACAATACACGTACAAATAGGCCTGTCAACGGGCCGGGTACAGGCCGAAATGTAGTGTTTTGGACCCGGACCCGTTAGACTCTGTATTGTTCCAAACTCGACCCATATACCAGGCAGATCTAGAATTATTGTTCCGGACTTGTACCCATAGGGTATCGGAACTGGGTAGGGCAGACCCCACCCGTCTCACAAGAATCCAACTTTAATTTCTTCAATAAAAACATGACCTCTTACTACCAACTACCAACTACTTTTCTGGGGACAACATGGCGGACTATAATTACACGTGTGTAATTACATGTCTCTAATTAGTTCCACAAATTAAAACTCCTCATTCTCCTTGGCTTTCTTAGTATGGCCAGGTATTTGATGAGCCTCTTTGCCTTCTCTAATTCTCCATAGTTGCTTTATATGGAGTAGTACTTTGTAAGATACATAATATTGGGATATTTAGGGTAAAGAGTAAAAATAATTGTTTGGAAAGCAGAACATCTATTAGGATGTTTATACTTGTACTGTAATTTGTCCCAGATCAGATCAGACCAGCCTAGACTTGGATAGTTATAAAAATACAAAGAAAACAAACCAGACTAGACCAGCAAATTACAGTCCAAGTAAAAACATTCTTATAATGCATAATACGTGTGTGTGATGAGTCGGGTCATAAATGGGTCGAAGTCACATATACTATACCTGACCAATTTAAATAAGGGTCTGGACCCGGTTCCGGGTTGTTGGGTAACAGGGGAAAATATAGACTCATACCCATTAAAAAACGAATCCGGGTCGGGTTCGGGTCTAGACGTGACCCATTGATAAAAGACCTACGTACAAATTAAATATTCTGTACCAAATCTAAGGAGGAAAGGAAGGAAGCCACACACATTTAATTTAAAATTTTAAACAGTTCGAACTTAACACACAACATCTCGTGTCTACATTAATTTCAATTCAATACAATACGTGATTTTGACCTCATAAGTTGATATCTTGATGAATGTATGTCTGAACCTGCACGGGTAGCTCAGTTGGTCGAGTGGTGAGAAATTTGGATCAATGGACCAAGGTTCGAATCCCGCAGCGACCGTGTGGAGGTTACAGAACCTGAAATAAGGCTGACTGAGTCATCATGATTTACTCCTTCATCATCCTGCGGGTCAGGGTGTGGGGGCTCCTGGAGTGGGAGATTCCACCTCTTGGATCAATTGATGATGTATGTCTGAGTAACAGTGGATGAAATAGTTGTTTCCCTTATTTTTTGGTTGATCACTTTCTTACCAACCCCTTATTGAGTTATTTGTACTTGAATTAGTTGATAATGAAACACGGAGTAGTTCAGTGTTGAAGTATACTATCGGCTTAAAATTGATGTTTTTTTTAAATTGATGTTGTATAAAAAGACAATTTAGGAGTTGGTTTCGTTACTTTCTTTTTTAGTTTATCAATCTTATCAATCAAGTTTTTATAAAAATACATTTTATTTTATTTTATGTGCTAGGTTGTGTAATAATCAAAATAAGTAAAATTCGAGTTACTTTTGTAGGTGGATTAGCTGAAGTTACTATTAGATGATCATGTTAGCTATTTTTTCAAATATTTTTTTTATCTTTTTAATAAAAAATTTTAAATGCAATTTTTTCTTAATTCAACAGAATCAGCCACCTAGACTAGAAGTTCATAAATTTCAACAAAATCAACAATTCAGTCAATTTGGATGTTACCAAATGGTTTCTACATTTTTTCGTCAATAGATTCTTAGAACTTAAGCCTGTTTTAAAATAATAGCCGTTATCTGAATTTTCATGAAATTTAAAATGGTATTGTAGGTGTATTGTACACTTTATAAAGAATAGTAAAATTTTGATATTATAGCAATATTGTATTTTATTAAAGTGTATTGTAATTACTTTTGGATAGATTCTTTTCTGAAAAAGAATTTATGTCATCATAGTTATGATCTCTCTGTCTCACCAAATTTAATCAACTTTTTGTATTAGTCGTCCTAAAAAATCAATTTCATTTAGAGTAACGAATATGTGATTACATCTATTTCTCACTCCTCTGCACAAATAACTTCCATGTAGTACTCCGTATTATTCTACATGCGAGTCAAAATTAGCCAAAGTTTGACGAAACAGAGTCAATATGATAAATTAGCACGTAAATGATAAGCCTTTCATTCTCTTGGTAAAATCATTATGAAATAATCATATATATGACTAATAGTTACTACAATATAGTAGTTATGGTCGCTTAAGTGTAAAAATTGAATTTTAGATACTATATATGATTTGTTTTATTACTATATATAATAAAATTACTACTATAGTCACTAGTCACATATTTGTAAAATTACATTATTCTGTTCAAAATATGATATTATCAAACATAATTCTAAGAGGATGGTTGTGATAGCGACACTTACTTTTCCAAACTTCGGTGGTCGTGAGTACATTGAACGAGGTAGGGAAGATGGTCAATGTCATTTGGTGGATGACTATTAAAATTGAAATCCAACTTATAGCTCCCATGTCTTCCGTCTTCAATCATTTCCGTATGCAACTTGCTTGTTTGACCGCAAAATGAACAATGTGGTGCGAGCTGATTATTTCTTTGCACCAAAGAACGATGCATTGAACCATGTATCTCTTTCCATCCCCGTAATAAAAAACAAGTGTCATATTCATGCTCGTAAATGGTTGTTCTGCTGATTCATTAGACCAACTATACCATTTCGAGGAGAGCACGACTTTCTAGTGCATGAGTAAATTTTGCACATCAATCATTGGGATATACAATTCTTGGTACCTGCAAACACCGGACTACGTTGATCTCCACAATCTTCTTGCAAAGTAATCAAACAAGGGATTTCCTGATCTCCACAATCTTCTTGCAAAGGAATCAAACAAGGGATTTCCTGGTATGATTGATTCCATCGGCAGTTTGCACTCGGAATGAAGAAATTGTCCTACAGAATGGGCATGATAGTTCAGTGGGTACAAGCACAAACTAGATGTTTTTTTTAGAGACTATTGCTTCATATGATACATGGATATGACATGCGTTTTTCGACACGATAAGTTCCAACAACTATCTTAACATGCTTGCAAGCTCTACAGTGTTTGATGCAGTTGTGAATGGTTATGCTCCTCAAGTCAACTACACGAACAATAACTTGTAGAATATATTAAATGTTATTGCTTAGCCGATGGGATTTGTCCCACATAGACTACTTTTGTTAACACAATTACTAATTCTGAGTCGTTACACTTCTAAGAAACAGATTTTGCTCTTAAGCAAAAGGCCTATTACAAAGATGTTGAAAGAGCGTTTTGCATTTCACAACTGAGATGGGCCATCATACGAGGGCCTGCCGATTGCATCTGGCGCATATCGACTTTAGGTGATATTTTGTTCACATCCATTATCCCACTCAACATGCATGTAGAAAACGAGTATGAAGAAACCATGAAAATCCAAGTAGTCAAGATTAGAGTGCAGACTATGAGTATGTTCTTTCGTAGATTGAATTTGATCTTAATCATGATGCCCTATCTTTGCGTGACTACGCAATGCAACATAATCAGATCATGAGCTCGTCCCTGCACACCACTCTTAATAATGATCTGGTGAATCATTTGTGAAGCCATCACGAGAACGTCATGTAGTGAGTCTTTTTCCATTATTTAATTATTATTTTCATTTTTCAGTTCAATAATGCTACTACTGTTTGTGCCTTTTCCCATTCTTGTAATATATTAGGATTTATTCCTCCTTTTTATTATTGCAATCAATGTTATGTTTGTTTATAATATTGTTTTATTAGTATTTAAATTCAATAACTAGTGTTTCGTTTTGTTCATTTTAATATTCAACAAGTACATCTAGTTAAAATTTAACAAAAATAATACTCCCTCCGTCCCTGAATGTTGTTCCGATTGCGGATTACGAAGGTTGACCGACGATAAAGTTAAATGATCCCTGTGAAAACTCGGATTATTTTTAGTAAATAAAATTTACATATTCAGAAACTACATTAAACCCGCTACAAAGCCTGCACAAAAAAAAACAATTTTCATAAAGTTTTGATACAAAAAGTAAGAGTTTAAGAGTGATTTAAGTTGACTCTCGAAAAGCGAAATGGAAGTAAATTTAGGGACAGAGGGAGTAATATAGTAATATAAAAATAACAGAATGCTCATGTGGATGGTTTTTATCCTCTCTCTCTATGTTTTTCTTCCATCTTTTTATCTTATTATCTTATTTATGTTCTTTATCCTTTTCACTTTATAGTAGTATATATTCTTTTTATCATTTTTATCTTGTCATTTTTATTGTTATCTTATACATATCTTTATATTTATTTTATCCTTTTTATCTTGCCTTATGTTTTTATCTTTCTTATATTTACTTTTGGCTCCGATATCATGTACCAACTCATGTTAGCTGACCTCAAAATCTTTAAGACTAAGGATGTGTTTACTTAAATTAGCTGCTAAAACCACAGATAGGTTAGTAAAACATGTGAATTAAAGACGCATGCTGCTTAAAAGGCTGCTTACTAACTCAAACAGGTCTTTAAAGTGTCGCTTACTAAGTATACCACCCACGGACCCACATGTATTAATTAAACGACACTTGAAGCTTTTTCAGTTTCCACATGTACCCATACCCGACGTTACCCCTTTCGTTTACCCTTATCGTTACCCCAACCTTACCCCCTAACCCAACATTCCCCTACCTCTACCCCTACCCCACCCAAACCCTTTCCCCTAACCCTAACCCTCTTCCTCTATACGTATGCGTACCCTTACCCTACCCCTACCACTACCCTTATCCTAAGTGGTCGAGGTAGGGGCTACGGGCGGGTACAGGTAGGGGGTCATCGTAAGGGTAGGGGCAAGGGTAAGAGTACACATACGAGTGGTGGGTGCACGGGCATGGGAGTAGCTAGGGGGGCAACCTAGGCCCCGACCTATCTCAAATTTAAAAAATCCCTACATTTTTTTTTCTAATGTAAAAATATCCGTGTAATTCTTTTTCCCAAAAATATTCTTTATACCATCAAGTCTGGTTTAGTGTCCTGGCTCCTCCCCTGGGTACGTGGATGGGTAGGGGTAGGTGGCAGGCCCCCACATATTATATATACTTGTGTGTACATGAATATTTGTGTGTCTATATATGTATAGGGTTATTTTGGACATTTTAATGTTAAATGATGTTTTAAATCTCATGAAGTAGACATGAGTTTATAACACTACTTATCTCATGCGCCGCTTATTAATGCAAGTCTTAATAAACACTACTTAGTAACTTGTGAAGTAAACATGTCTTAAGGTTTGAATGTTGTTGTTGTATAGATTATAACGAGGATATTGTATAGTAGTACATAATTTTATTGGTAATTGGAATTTAGTTGAAACATGTCTTAAGTGTGCCATTTTTCGTACTCATGAAAAAATAAATTCAATTTTTTTTCATACGGGAATGTTTGACTTTTTTAATCATAATAATTTGTAAAATGTTACATAATTGTTGTGAGATAATAAAGTACGTATTTCTGCATTTAATTAAAAACAACCGTGTTAAGTATTTATGCATTTTTAAATATTGACGATTCTAAGTTGGACGATTCTAAGTTGCATGGGAAAACCGAAAAACTGGATTGAACGAGTAAATATATACAAGAGGGAATTTGAATTATTAAATAAGAGAGTTAGAAACTTGTGATTAGCCTTACATGACCCATATCATTTGTTTATTAGGGCTGTTTTTCACTTCTATCCCTTGTAACATTTTCGTTAGCAAAACAACATATGAATGTATTACATATTCTTTTAGTCGTATCATTGATAGTATATTTTTATATACATTTGTGATTTGTCACCATAAAACTTGAATGTTATATTTTCGTTATCGTTAGGAATGGTAACATGATCGGGGATGGGTTTACATATAACCGTACCCGTCCCGTTTAGTAATTCCCTTGCCCCATAACCGCCCCATTACCCAATGGATATTTTTTTATCCAAACCATAACCGCCCCAACGGGTAAAGAGTATAACCGCGGGTAACCGCGAGTAATTACTTTATTAAATGAGTCATTGATATTTTAATATAAAAAATAATATTTTAAAAGGTGAAAAATGGCATCACCTAGATGACTCTAGACTCAGACACCACCTTAAAGTTTCGTAGATCTAAAAGATGAGGAAGAAGACAACCTATATTATTTTGGACCTAAAAATACTTAACCTGAAAAATACTCCGTAATTAATCAAAAAAGAATATGATAATAATCAAACAAGATTATCAAGATCTATTATGAACTTTCATTCACACTATAGTTAGTACATCTATTATGCATATATACACAATGAAAATAGAAAAAACTCATCTTTTATTAGTTGTGAGACAAGTAATATACTCCCTCCGTCCCGGAAACAAGTTCCACCTTTCCTTTTCAGGCAGTACCTAAATTAAGTTCTACTTTCAAACATTTTCTTATCTGGCAAATTATCTACATCACAACAGTGTCAAACAGTGCCAAACAGTGTCGAAACAGTGTCAAAACACTAAAATTTACCCCTCAGTAAATTTATTTTCTTAATGTGTGAATTTTAATCCGGAACTTGTTTCCGGGACGGGAGGAGTATGAGAATGTAATAAAAATATAACTAAAAATAAACGGGATGGGTAATGGGGCACGCATGTATAATACCGTAACCGCTCCATTACCCGTAAACACAAAACAGATATTTCCTGTCCCATACCTGTTACTCGATCAATGCGTTTTTTTCTGTTTTGACCGGGATGGTTCGATGCAAGTATCTATCGAATCGATCACAATTGTCGTCTCTAGTTATAGTTTATAGGTAATATACGTAGTACAATTTTACCATTGGAAAAATAAATAAAAACCTAATGGATCAAGTTAGAAGGGATAGAGGGACGACTGAAAGTACTACTACACTTAACCTTCTTCTATCTGTCCATCCACTGCAGGATACTCTGCACTTTACTAGCTTACTTAAGGCTTGTCTTACATCATGGTGGACATTTGTCTCCTCCAATCTCAACTCCAAAGATAGAATCTTTCATCACTCACTGTGATTTGTGATCTGGGTTTTGTTTCCTTGTTTCGAAGTATCAAATCAGAAGCACAAAGAATCCGATTATTGGAACTACTTTATACTTCTTTTGTGGTTAAAGATTTAAGGCTTGACTGTTCTGGAAGAAATCTGCTTCAATATGTAATCTCTTCCCCCCTTTCTAATCATCAAACCTATTGCTCTATATTTTTATTTCGATCAAATCTTGTATGTTTCTGTGAGAGCAAATATTTAACATTTGATTGAAAGTCTCGATTTTATTTCTTCTGCATCTGTGTTAAAAAATTATATTACGTAGATTTCATTATTGGTTTATTTACTTAGTCGTCTAATGATTTTGGTGTTCTTACTTACTGACTCATTAAGATTTGATGAAATTTTAAGAAACTCTGTTTAGGTATTTTGTTTGATTTGGAGGTGGTTGTTTCTTTGTTGAGTGATTCTTCCATTGGGTCAACTGGTCAAGAGTAATAAGAATGCCTTTGTTTGAGATAGTATTATGCTCTGGTGAAGTATTTGTCCCACTGTTGTTTGGTATAAAATAATCCGGAGTAAAATGATATACACCGTGATTGACTTTTTATTGTGAAATCTTTGATATTACAAATAACTCAAAGTACAAACATGCTTTTCCATTTTCTATGCATGTTCTCTTATGAAGTTTCGTTCTGGTTATACACTGAATAACACATCCATCTTTATGTTTTTGTATGTATATGATTTAGACTATGCTTTATTTCATGTACCCCACACAACCCCAAAAAAGTACTAAGACTGAGGTTTACAAGAGATGAATCTCTTAGGATGAACAATATAACATCTTAATACATTGATCTGATATTCGGTATTATATATGTTGTCAGTGTGCGACAAATACTTCAACAAAGAGAGAAGTGTTGTTTGGCCAATGTGTTACTCGCTTATTTTGTACTTAATTCTATAATTTGGTTTGATTATATTTATACTTTATCAAATATAATATGCAAGAGTTGCACTTATTTTGAAAATTTAAAGTGTATAATTTGGTTCAACTAAAGTTATCATAGACTACGTATAACATGTCCATGACTTTTTATGTAATTCAGCAAATGGCATGAAAAAGTATGTTTTCTTCTATGAGGTATGACTTTAGGGACCGAGACAAAAAAGTGTTTGAAATAAAGACTCCTTTTTTAGGACGGTAGGAGTGATTTGTTTCTCAATTTGAAATGCACCAATTCATTTATTCCATTTTGCTAATTTGTGTGCTTCAATTCAATGAAGCCAAGTACGTATGGCCTTTGTTTTTCTTTTCTTTGCTGGTAGAAATTTAGGGCAATAAAATTTTACAGAGTTTACAATGGGTAGAGGGAAAGGGAAGGCAAAGAAGCAATCTCCACATGAAGATCTTGGAAGTGGCAGGGAGGAGAAGATACATCCGATTAGAAAAAGAGGGCGACCGGTTAAACCGGTGAAAGATGATGTAAAGGAAGGGAGTGACGAAATTGAGAGAATCAAGGTTATAGAAGATTTAGGGGACAATACAAAAGGAGGCACTGTATTGAGCAGAGGTGTTCAGAATAACCAAGTTGGTTGTGAAAACGGAAAAAAAACGAAACCAGCTCCCCAAGCCACAGATAACAATAGTGATTTGGTGGTGGACGAGGAAAAGGCATCGATTGACTTAAAAAAAGTAGTCGGTTTCAGGCAGAATGGGAGTCGAAGGAAAAACAAACCGAGGCGGGCAGCTGAGGTTGGTGTTGAGTGCAGATGATGGAATCATATCTGCTTACATTTTCTTTTTTTAAGTATGTTTAATTGCTTTAGGTTTTGGATACCTTCATTTAAGGATTCAAGGGCATTTATGATTTCTTATTGCTCTTCTATTTTTCAAACATGTCACTGCTATATTGTTGGCTACAGCCATATAAAACCAGAATTTTAGTTCTCTCCTGCAACTCTTGCCCCAAAACTCCAAAAGATTGTTTTTTAACACTAACTCTATGTCAATTTTGGAAACTTCTTTTAAGAATTAAGAAACATTTATGTTTTCTTCTTCTTCTTCTGTTTTTTCTCCCTTTCAAATGTTGCACTGCTATAGGTGCTATGTGGTTGGTTACAGCCATACATGACCAGAATCTTAGTTCACACAGTTCAACTGTCCCACAATATTTTTGTTGTTGATCTTTTTTCTTCATGGGGGGTAGTTGAAAACTATAATTGACAGGACATGCTTAGTGAATGAATCTTAAAATTTATTGAGTTGGGATTGGAGCCTTATGGACATTTTCATCCTTTCCTTCTCTACTTATAAATATTGTGATATCGTTTATGTTATTTCATATGTCCCTCAATTAGTGCCCAATTTGACTTGATACACATTTTAAAGATATATCATATATGTGGACACTTCCAGAATTTTCTTTACTCGGACCGGAAAAAGTTTTTTAGGACCAGAACCCAGAATGGTTCAATTTGATTCAGTTCCGGTTTCAAATATACCCGGCATGTGATTAGAATTGGCCGGTTCCACTCCTCCACTTGAACTTTTTCTTTATGACGAAATTGACATCTATAATCAAAAGTAATTAATACTTGAAAAGTTCACAATAATATCTATTTGTAGATTGCTTCAGAAAACGAACCTCCACTTAACAATGTTAGCTTTCCGTTATGTTATTTCATTTTTGTAATTAGTTAACAAGTTGAGATTATTTATATATTATTTATCAAACTTGAGGTAATTGATACATAAATATTGAACATTTTTTGAAGGGAAAATCGTGTTTTCAGTCTCTCAAATAGTATTGCTCATATTGAAATGTAGTCCTCGCATTTTCAAGTGTGTAAATATCACCCCTTAGTTGTCTGAATTGTTGTGAATGTGGTTCTCACCCACATTGTAAATGTCACCCCTCAAAGGATCACATTTAAAATAATTTGGACAATTTAGAGGTGGTAATTACAAATTTGAAAATCTGGGGATTACATTTTAATGTGAGTACTAATTGAGATACTCAAAGCGCAGTTTTTCCATTTTTGAATACACAGGGTTAGAAGATCTTATGCATAGTGTGTAGTTAAACAGAGTTAAATCCATTTGAATGTGCTAGGAAAAGTTGACAGATTTCTTCGAAATTGTCGATGACCCCCGTCTTGAACTTCTCTGAACCACTCCCGTATCTGGGTAGTCATATTTTTTTATAAATAAGTTTTACTACATTAATATTTTTGAAAGACCATCTTAAAACAATGAGAAAATTACTAGGAGTATGACCAAAAGAGATGATGATTTGTAAAATATGACTAAACATTTTCTTTATTCCTAATATAATGGTGTTTGCATGCATTTATGATATGTGTTATGATGTTATTTTTTCCCTTAATTTAATTATTATTATTATTATTATACTCATATAGAGACACGTTTAAGGTGGTTAGATACGGTATACCGAATATTCTCTCATACCTTTTTCATAAAAAAACTTTCGGTATACGAAATTTATATACCGTTACCTTACCGAAGTTTCGGTATACCGCATTTCGGTATACCGAAGTTTTGATTCGGTAACGGTACAGTATTGGTAAATTACCATGAATGTCTACCAACACAACAAATTATCATAGACTAACAAAATATACTAAATCGTTGTTACTGACATATTTAATCTATTATTAAAATGTTACAAAATACAATTAATAATCTATTGATGTCAATTCAACATTGAACAATAATTATTATTAGTATATTTAAATAGCTCAACATGCCACGTATTAAAAAATAACACATTCTCCTAAAATAACTTGAACAATATAGATATAACTAAATCAGTAGTGATATCTAACAAAAATAAATAAAATTATTTAAACAATATGGATATAAAATCATTTATTCCTAATCGATATGGTATTGTGTATTAGTCATTTTTATAATTTAAAAAAACTATTTGAATAAGACTTTTGGACAAAGTTATGTGTCTCGACTCGCGGAATCCCTATGTAGATACACTCGTCACATAAGTATATCCTTCTTCACTCGTCAGCTACTCAGCGGCTCAGTCATCGCGAATCGCAAGTGTGACACCGCACCCGGATGTACTTGAATTTGAAATTCGACATGTAATTTAATTTTCCTAGGGAATATAATTCGTGTAATTGATCGGCATATTTAATTAATGCACGATTAATTAAATTACATATCGGGTCCATTATATGAGAATGGGCTACCAAATATTTAGTTGGGTTATCATAATAATTATAGGGGCCCAATAAAATGCCAACCGAAGTTGATAAAAATATTTGGACAACCCGAGCGCTATTTTAACCCGGCCGGCCAGAAATAGCAGGAATAATTGGGCGAGACTTCCTACACCCACTTGGGATATCCTACACACTAATTTGACACAAAAAATAGGGGAGGGGGACCACACAATGTGGCTTGTGCGGACTGATTGAAGGGGGATGGGTAGAGACAACCCATACACCCCATTCTTGGACTCATTGCCTCATTATTGGCTTTGAGAAGAAAGGAAAACAACCCCCCATCCCCTTGCATTGTTCGAACAACCCAGACCAAGAGAAAGCTCAAGGGAAGGCCTTCAACATCATTTTCATCTGGAAGGAAGCAAAGAGCAAAAGAAACCCCAAGAAAAGTTAGCTAGAAGAAAGGTAAGAACTCATCTACAAATTCTTTTAACTAGTTTGTTGGATATGATTTTAAGAAATCATATGGTGGATTAAACCATGAGTTTTACACGTTTAAAAGTGTATTATATTGTTATAAAGTGGGGGTATTTAACTTAGAAGAGTCGTGGAATCGATAGGAGTTGAAACCGCCGGAAACCGCCAAGAGTAGGAGGCTGTTCGTAGCAGTAGACGACGAAAGCCGCCCAGCTTTCGTGAAAGCCGCCCGGCTTTCACCTTCTGCCCAGACTTTTCGCTTTCGATCGGCCTAGAACGGGGATTGATCGAGGGGCTTAGCAAAGGCAACTATTGTAGCACATCACAAGGTGAGGATGGCTGACTATATTGCTTATAATCTTTGGGTTAATTTCATAAGATTACCTAAAGTGATTAAATGTGATTTTCATGGATTATTAATGATTAATAATGCCTAAATGGAAATATCATTGTTTGTAAATAAAAAAAATGCATAACATACAAATTTATGAGAAAATTGTGTATGATGATGCATTATAGTTATGATGGTATGATGATGGTATAAACCATGAAATATTTGTGATAAAATATACTTTTACTTCATGATAGAAATCATGAATGGATAAAAGTGATATTTTTGACATTTAGTTTAAATCATATATGGAGTTGGAAAACCCATAGGAATTGGGCCTTATAATTATATAGTAAAGAGTTTGGATGTTCAAGGATTAATGGATTTGTATTAAATGTACTAATCGGGAATGTTGTATAAAAAGTGATAGAATAAATCCTAAGGGCTTGGATTGTGAAAGATGCACCTTAAGTAGTCTATTGAGATGTCTTAAGGTAGAAATGGGTAACCACTAAGTTACATTAGGAGTAGGCCTCCTTGGCTACTCAAGATTGAGAAACTCTAGGCATAGAAATTGCTAGTGAGTTAGTATCGTGACTAGAGGAAGCCTCTAGCACGATGAAGAATGACTGGAGGAAGCCTCCAGCATTCGTGTAGGGTGAATTAGTTTCGTGACTAGAGGAAGCCTCTAGCACGATGAAGAATGACTGGAGGAAGCCTCCAGCATTCGTGTAGGACGACTAGAGTAAGCCTCTAGCGTAGAATAGGATGACTAGAGGAAGCCTCTAGCATAATCTAATGTGACTGGAGGAAGCCTCCAGCACAAAGTATGTAAGGTGATTAGAGGAAGCCTCTAACACCGAATGTAGTGACTAGAGTAAGCCTCTAGCACGGTGAAACATGACTAGAGGAAGCCTCTACATGGTAAGTAAATATAGATGGGCGTGACTTGAAGTCACGGGGAAAGGGTTGAACGTTTTCAAAGAAAACATGGGTCTTCGGGCCGACTACTTGACTTTATATATAAAGTAAGTATATTTTCAAAGAGGGTAACCACGGGTTATGACCTATAATATATTATCACCCTATTTGAGGGTCTTGGAAATTGAAACTTTGGTTATACTTAGTATAGTTGTCATTGTACTTGTCAAATGCTTCCAAGTACTGACCTCCCCTTCACGGGGGAGGCCACCTCACAGTTTCAGGTAGGACTTGAAGGTTGCTACCGCCGCCGTTGCTTTGGGGAGGTTCAAGGAAGGAGACGTGGTTCGTGCTTCTTCCGTTCCTGTTTTGAAAACATTTTTAAATAATGCTCATGGGTACTATTTGAATATTTATTTGGGCTTGTATGCCCGTGTTTGCCACGTGTGGCTTGGATATTTGAATTAATGTTTCCGCTGCTTGATTAAATATTTTGCATTATGATTGTTTATGGATGTACTATTGTGAATGATATTCATGACGCCTAGTATAGTATGGATGAGTTGGACTGCGGTTGACTATTCGTACTGTACGGCGGGTTGTTGACGTGTCCGGTGGGTCCGGGGCGTGACAATTTAATTGGTATCAGAGAGCCTTAGTCCGTAAACTTCATAATGAAGCTTCAAAATCCTTTTTGAAAATGATTTTGAAAACCATGAGCATAAAGTTTTGTACTTATAGAACTTTTGGTACTTGAGTTGCAAGGTCTCTAATTGTTAAGATGGTACCCTTAACAATTGGCATGGCGGCGATTTGAGCCAAGGGATGTCTTTAAGTGCCTATCCGTCATTTGACATTTGATACGGGTCTAATGACTCAATCTCTATCTCTTTCAGAAATGGAACGTACCGGTAAAGTCACTCGAAGAAACCCGACTGGCCAGGCACGGGGAGGATCCCAACATGGCAGTCGAGGGGCATCGAGGGCGTCTCGTGGGCAGGACCGTGCGGGTCACTCGTTAACGGTGAGTGACGGTCATGTGGAGACAATCGATGAACAATACGATTCCGAGGAGGATTCGACGTATCAACCGGGAACCGAG